TAAACCTGGCTAAAAGTGAGTTCACAAAAGTCCAAGTCACAAAGGTTATTGGGGAATTTCCCATGCCACTGATGAAGAAGGAAGTACTATGATTCCTGGGACTGAGTGGTTTTTGGTTTTTATCAAAAATTTTAGCAGTGTGGTTGCTCCACTGACTGACTTGTTTGAAGAAGTGCAGAAAGTTTCAGCAGACAGAGGAGTGTCAGAAGGCTTTTGACAGCCTGAAAGCTGTGCTAGCCACAGCTACTGTGGTTAGCTATACCTAATTATGCAAAACCATTCAAGGAAGCTATCGCAGTGACTCATGTGGGCGTCGGTGCTGTACTCTTGCAAAAAGACAATGAGAAGACAGAAAGACCTATTGGGTATTTTCCCAGAAAGTTGAATATTCATCAACAAAAATATTCCATAATTGAGAAGTAGATCTTGAGTTCAGTGCTGGCGTTTCAACATTTATGTTGCCAGTAATGTGTCTTAGACAATTGTATATGCTGATCATAAACCTTTGACATAACAAAGTGTAGAGCTGGATGAACACAGCAGGCCAAGCAGCATCAGAGGAGCAGGAAAGCTGATGTTTCAGGTCTAAACCCTTCTTCAGAAATGAGAAGGGGAAGGGGTATCTGAAATAAATAGGGAGAGAGGGGGAGGCGGATAGAAGATGGATAAAGGAGAAGGAAGGTGGTGAGGAGACAGACAGGTCTAAGATGCAGGGGGGAGCCAGTAAAGGTGAGTGTAGGTGGGGAGTTAGGGAGGGGATAGGTCAGTCCAGGGAGGACGGACAGGTCAAGGAGGCGGGATGAGGTAGTAGGTAGGAGATGGGGTTGGGGCTTGAGTGGCACCCGAAGGTTGCAGGAACAGCATCTCATAGTTCACTTGGGAACCCTGCAGCCCAATGGTATCAATGTGGACTTCACAAGCTTCAAAATCTCCCCTCCCCCGACTGCATCCCAAAACTAGCCCAGCTCGTCCCCATCCTCCCCAACCTGTCCTTCCTCCCACCTATCCACTCATCCCACCTCCATCTCCTACCTACTAGCCTCATCCAGCCTCCCTGACCTGTCCGTCCTCCCTGGACTGACCTATCCCCTCCCTAACTCCCCACCTACACTCACCTTTACTGGCTCCCACCCTGCATCTTAGACCTGTCTGTCTCCTCTCCACCTATCTTCTCCTTTATCCATCTTCTATCCGCCTCCCCCTCTCTCCCTATTTATTTCAGAATCCCCTTCCCCTTCTCATTTCTGAAGAAGGGTCTAGACCTGAAACATCAGCTTTCCTGCTCGGCCTGCTGTGTTCATCCAGCTCTACACCTTGTTATCCCAGATTCTCCAGCGTCAGCAGTTCCTACTATCTCCGATCATAAACCCTTAATGTTTTTAGAAAAAAACAAGATAAAATACTAGACTGTTCAAATGGTGTTTATTGTTATAGCCATTTAATTTTAAAATTATACACATGGCAGGACAAGAGAACATAATTCCAGATGTGTTGTCATGACTTTGATAAAGGAAAATGAATGTGCTCATTGGCAGAAGAAATGGATTGAAATGGACTGTAGCATTAAATGTTTGCATGCTTAGAGTTAATGTAATGTAACATACTATTAGCACAAAACTAAAGATCTTTAAAAATGAAGCCATCTTTGTATATTGATAACAAGGTGTAGAGCTGGATGAACACAACAGGCCAAGCAGCATCAGAGGAGCAGGAAAGCTGACGTTTTGGGCCTAGGTCCCATTGCAACTTTTTGTATATTGATAGTTCATTTTTATTTAAGGGGGGGGGGGAGATGTAGCTTTAAGGGGTATATTTGTTCCTGATTTTTGAAGAGAGGTTTTGAGTCTTGAGCTGTCTCTTCCAAGCCAATAAAATCAACAACTTGTGAGCCCTTGGGGTCTTTTTTAAAGTTGGAACAATAGAAGCAGCATGAACGGGTGGAGTCAGACTCCCACGGTACCAGAGTTTTAGTTTTGCTTTCAGTAGTTATTGGGGTTTTGAAGTTGGCTGTGGAAGCTGTTACATCATTCTCAGCCACAGCAAAAAACTGGAGTTCTCTCTCTCTCTCTCTGCCAGAATTTTCTCTGGGTGTTCTTTCCTTCTGGACTGAAGAAACATCTCATATGAGATAATTTATTTTACTGAATTTGCCTTTGCTAAGGGTGTGCTTATTGAATGTTATTATATTGGAACAGTTGCTGTTTAGTTGTTAAAGTTATTCTGTAAAGTTTCCCAATAGAGCTAGTTATACCAATTCTTCGTTCTCTTGTTTGTACTTTAACTGAAGGGTAAGAATAAAGTATGTTTTAATTAAGGCCAAATAGTGTAGCCAATTGAATTACATGTGAAACACAGCACCATACACTTATTTTTAAATAATACAAAATTTAGGGTGTAGGCTATCTCCTTGATAAATTTGAAGGGGGTTTGGTCTGGTCCATAACAAACAGAATCATAGGAATACAGAAAAATTGTGTCATAGGAATACAGAGTCATGGGGACATTATATGCGCAATGACAAACAGGAAAATCTCTCTGGTTCAGCTCCTTTCATACTGAAGGATATTGAAGATTTTGAAATGGTACTGTGCAGGGCATGGAACAAATTTCCAATGGAAAAAATCTTAGAAAACAAGATATACCAAAGGTTTGGGTGCTACGCTTCAGAGAAGTGTAAGTTTCGGGATGATCTGATTGATGTTTATAAAAGATATAAAGGATCATTTGACAATTTGCTTTAATTTGTTTGTTCCTGTGCCCCTATGCCTTTGCTTCCATATCCCCATATTCCTGTGCCCCATGTCAGAAGAGCAAAAAGTTGGATCTAACGGATAAGGTTAAAGATAATCCCAAAAGGTTCTATAGCTATATTAAGAGTAAAAGGGTGTATAGGGAGAGAATAGGGCCCCTTAAAAATCAGCATGGCCGTCTACGTGTGGAGCCACAGGAGATGGAGGAGATTTTTAATGAATATTTCTTCTCAGAGAATCATGGATGCTAAGGAAATAAGGGAAACAAGTGTGGATGTTTTAGACTGCATACATATTACCAGAGACGAGGAGTTTGCAGCCATGAAGTGCATTAAGGTGGATAAATCCCCTGGACCTGATCAAGTCCGTCCTCGGATGTTGTGGGATGCTAGGGAAGAAATTGCAGAGGCCCTTGCAGAGATTTTTGCTTCATCTTTACCCACTGGTGAAGTTTCAGAAGACTGGAGGGTGGCTAATGTTGTTCCATTGTTGAAGAAAGCTAGGAAAGACAGGGAACTAGCTGCCAATGAGCCTGACAGTGGTAGGCAAGTTATTGGAGAAGATGCTGAGGGACAGGATCAACCAACATTTGGATAGTCAAGGTCTGATTAGGGATAGTCAGCATGGATTTGTGCACAGGATGTCATGACTGACAAATCTTTGAGTTTTTTTGAAGAGGTAACCACAAGTTATGGATGAGGGTGAATGTTGTCTATATGGACTTTAGTAAGGCCTTTGACAAGGTCCTGCACAACAGGCTAGTCATGAAAGTTAGGTTGTATGGGATCCAGGGAGAGCTAACTAATTGGATTCATAGTAGGGAGCAGAGGATGATGGTTGAAGGTTTTTTTCTTGGACTAGAGGCCTGTGACTAGTGGTGTGCCACAGGGGTCGGTGCTGGAACCTTTGTTATTTGTTATTTATGTAAATGATCTGGATGTGAATGCACAAGGCATGATTAGAAATTTTGTATTTGACACACAATTAGGAGATATTGTTGACAGCAAAGAAGGTTATCAAAAATTATAGAGGGATCTTGATCAGATGGTGAAGTGGGCTGAGATTTGGCAAATACAATTCAATACAGCTGTGTGAGGTGTTGCACTTTGGAAAGTCAAAACAAGTTAGGACTTATACAGTCAATGGTAAGGCCCTGAGGAATGTTGTGGAACAGAGGGACCTCGGAGTACAAGTACATAGCTCGTTGAAAGTGGTGTCTCAAGTGGAAGGGTGGTGAAGAAGGCATTTAGCATGCCGGCCTTCACTGGTTGAGGCATTGAGTATAGGAGCTGGAATTTTATGTTACAGTTGTATCAGTCGCTGGTGAGGCCACACTTAGAATATTGTGCACAGTTTTAGTCACCCTGTTATAAGAAAGACATAGTTAAACTGGAAAGTGTGCAAAGAAGATTTACGAAGATGTTGCCAGGACTAATATGCCTGAGTAGTGGGAGGGGTTGGCCATTTAGGACTTTATTCCTTGGAATGTTCACGAATGAAGGATGACCTTATTGAGATGTATAAAATCATGAGGGGCATAGATAGGATGAATGCAACATAATCTTTTTCCCAGGGATGGGGAGTTGAAAACTAGAGGGCATAGGTTTAAGATGAGAAGGGAAGATTTAAGAAGGACCTAAGGGGCAACTTCTTCATAGAGAGTGGTGCGCATATGGAGTGGGCTGCCAGAGAAAGTCATTGAGGCAGGTACAATAGCAACATTTAAAAAACATTTGGATAGGTACATAGATGGGAAGGGTTTAGAGGGATGTGGACCAAATGTGGGCAATTGGAACTAGCTGTGTGGGAACCATGGTCAGTATAGACCAGTTTGGGCTGAAGGGCTTGTTTCCATGCTGTATTACTCTATGACTCTATGATTCTGTGTCCCCATGTTCCTATGCCCCATGACCCCATGTTCCTTTGCCCATGTTCCCATGCTCCTATGTTTCCAGGTACCTGTATTCCAATGCTCCCATGTCCCTGTACCCCTATGTCCCCAAATATCCCCATGTTCCTTTACGCCTCAGTCCACATTTTCAAATATCACATATGCATAGTATGAGTGGCAGGAAAACCTGAACAATTCAAGCCAATTTCTACCTTCCAATGCCTCTGACCCCTAGAACTGTTTGTGTTCAAAGGCAATAGACCCACCGTTTTCCCTGGGGATGGATTGTGAGTGGAGAGAGAACACTCTGAAAACTTGAAGCATCTTAACACGAAGTTTAGAAATGCCAAAAATGATGATCATTGGATTCCCGATAGCGTAGGCAAAGGCTGCATAAAAATAAGTAAAACGAATCAAATCCCACAGAGCAATGAAGCACCTGGAAGAACTCAGAATTACACAAGTTAGAACTATAATTCTTGTGAAGAGAATGAAATGAAATAAAAGATAAAGACAAATGATCATCGACATTATACGCTTGTGTCGATTGTGTTTCTGATGATTCACACTTGTGGCAAGGTTGTGAGAAATTCTCCTGTGTTTACAGAGCACAAAGACAATCCAGAAAGAGCTAGTGGACATACAGATTGCAGGAAGTATAGATCCCAAGATAAGATCAATATAAGTATTCAGGATTTGAATTACCACATCATTGTGTTCTGATAGTGATTCATTAATTGCATTGAAATAGTATGTTCCATTCTCATAATAGCAGGTAGGACTTGCATTAATCAGGTAACCAGCCAGTGCTCCAAGGCTGAAGCTCATGGCAAAAACCAACCCAAGGAGCAGGCCGGTTCTTGCGGTGATGATCTGCACCAATTTGATAGCAGTGGGCCAGTGGATACTGATGATTTTCAAACAGTAAAATAAACAGAGAAAGCTACTCATCCAGAAACTCATGGAATGTAATAAAGAGAGAAGAGTATTAATGACCTTTTGCTGGATCTCACAGTATATATGAAATGATGCAACTGCCATTCTGGACACAGAGACTATAATGGTAATGATATTAGCAATGGCGAGGCTGGAGACAATGTATTCTGTTGGATGTGGGCCACCTTGTTTTAGTTGCAGTCTCAGAGTCATCAGGATGAAAAGATTAGTTATTAATCCAAACACACTGAAGATTACTACTATAGGGACCTCCATTAACCAATCCATTTTCTTACAATCGACAAGAAGACAGTCACAGAAGGATCTGGATCTGGATCTGGAATGAAGATACAAGAGTAGAAAATTAAAACCAACTTCCAACTTGAATGTTACAGAAAAATGAAGTGTATTTTGCCAAAGGGTATGGAATAAGGAAAGCATAATATGCAAAGTGTTCAAATGTATTCCAGCCATTTTTATAAAGAAATCCATTTATTTCATTTTTAGGATTAAAACTCAACTTCTATGTACCTTCAAAATCAATCACTGACTAGATCAGACTTTTCTTCATATTGATTTTCACTCAAGTGTCTTATACATGATTGAGCAATATTGATAAGGGCACTTCCAGTTTCACCAATTAGCTGTCTTCCATTGGAAAAAGACTGAGTTGAGGAATGTCAGCTTTCCTGCTCCTCTGATGCTGCTTGGCCTGCTGCGTTCATCCAGCTCTACACCTTGTTATCTGAGTTGAGGAAGGATCCTGTTTCATTTGCAAATTGCTGTTAGCTCCCTGTTCTCAACATTCCAATTTCAGAAATGCCTCAATCATCGAAAAAAGATGACTTCAATGTTACATAGAACTACACAAATCTAGGGGAACTGTCTTTTCAGCCCAAATAAACCGTGATTCTGAATGGTCTGGCAGGCATAAAAGTATTTACTTTCTGTTAAAACTTTCTATTAACTGGAACCTATGGCACAAGGAGTGTGCCAGTTGATTGAATATTCCAAATAATCAAGAGGTCCACATAACTAATGTAAAAACACAAAGTAATAGAAACATAATGCATGGGGTATACACGCCACTGTCAAAGCATATTTACACCATAAGTCAATTAAATAATAAATGCAACATTTTTTAAATAAAAACTTACCAGCAGACAGCTTCCTCACTTGCACCCTCAACTGATTACTCAGACATCAGAGATCTCAATAATACAGCAAACTTCTGGTATTTGAGCTACATAATTTTTGCCAGTCTATCAAGAGCATCAGTTAATAAGGTGGTGGTTAAAATAAAGTTTGCTGTAACTAACCAGGGTCAGATGAAATGTATCCCAGGTTATTGAGTGAGACAAGGGAGAAATTAGCATGGGCACTTGCAAAAATTTTCATTTCTTCTCTAGAGGCAGCACAGGTACCAGAGGACAACCAAAGTACTGTTATTCAAGAAGGGAGCAAGGGATAAAGCAGGAATCTACAGGCCATCAGCCTAACCTTGGTGGTGGGGAAACTGAATTAATCTGCACTTGGAGAGGCAGAGATTAGTCGAGAACAGGCAGCATGGTTTTGATAAGGGAACGTCGTGTCTGACTCATGTGATTGAGTTTTTTGAAAAGGTGGCCAGGTGTGCAGATGAGGGCAATCCTTATGATGTAGACAACCTAGACACGGGATACTCAGGGCAAAGGTCAGAGTCCACAGGATTCTAGAATTGGCAAATTTGTTCCAGAATTGGCTGAGTAACGGGAAGCAGAAGGGATGATTGAGTGGTATTTTTGTGACTGAAGCCATTGCCTAGTGGGATTCTGCAAGAATCAATATTGGGGCCTTTGCTATTCGTGGTTTATATAAATAGCTTAGACTTGAATCAGTAAGGTTAAGATGGTTAGTCGGATGGGACCTTTTGTCTGTGCTGTAGATCTCTATGACTCTGTGACTGTGACTTTCTATGGTTTTTAAGTTCTCAATTCTGAAGAAGTTGAGTTCAGAAGCGAACAGTTCGTGTCCTTGCAAAAGAACCAGGTTTTTCATTAAGTTCAAGGGAACTAGTCAACTCAGCAGAAGTGCTTTCTATTTTGTGGATCTTCCAAAACATGAGTGTTTGGGTAGAAATCTTCAAGTTGTTAGAACTGAAAACGTTTTGACCGTTAGAAGTTTGAACGATTCATGTGAGCAGACTCAGAAAAGAATACTAAAACAGTCTCCTTAGTGCAAAAAAACCTGGGGAAAAAGGTCAATTAAATAAAGATTTTGAAAGCTGATAGGGGTGATTTTTCTCAAGGATTGAGTCTCTAATGTATAGAGTTGAGAAAAAAGGTGAAACTTTGTTTTGATCTTTGTGTTATGATTTTTCAACTATTTTATATATACTGTTATGTTTGCATATTTCTTCTTTTGTGTAATAAACTTATTCCATTGTTAAAGAACTTCTGCAGCCTCATGTGAATATGTTTCAGTGGCTAGCTACCACATTAATCACTTCTACTTACAATTTGACTTTGGAACCAGAAACATGATTATTAAATTTGCACTTACATGAAAATAAGAAATAAGAGCAGAAATAAATCATGCAGCCACTCAAGCCTGACATATAAGATCATGGCTGACCTGCCGCAGACCTCAAACATTCTATTGTGCCAGCTCTTCATCGCCCTTAACTCCTCAAAAATCTATGTCCTCTTTAAATTCTTTCAGTAATCTTCAGTCACAACACTCTGCAGTAGACAATTCCAGACATTCATCACCCTCAGAGAAATTCCTTCTTATCACCGATTGCTTACATTCTCATCACAACATGGCCATCTACCTAGTAATGTATCATCAGCAAATCTGGTACCAGTTCTTTCAAGTCATGAATATAGATAATAGATAATTGAGGTCCTAGGACTGATCCAGGTGTCACTCCACTAGCTAAATCTTTCCAGCCTGAAGAAAGCCCATCAATCCTGACTCTGTCTCCTGTGTGTTAACCAATCCTCAGCCCTTGCTAATATATTATCCCCCATATTGTGAGTTCCTATCTTGTACAATGACCTTTCATGTCACACTTTGTTTAACTCCGTTGACACAGACTTAGTTAATTAGAGTCCGACCTTTTGGCCCATTGTTTCCATGCTGACCAACAAATACCACACGAAAATAATCTCATTTACCTGCATTTGGTTCATAGTCTACGATGCCCTGGCATTTTAAGTGCTGGACCAGATACTTCAATGTTGTGAGAACATCTACCTCCACAACCCTCTCAGGCAACACGTACCATATTTTCACCACCCTCTAGGTGAAAAAGGTTTTCTTTAGAATCTCTCTAAATATATTGCTGTTCCTTCATTGTCGTTGGGCCAAAATCCTGGAATTTCCTCCCTCAGGGCATTGTGGGTCAACCCACTACAGGTGGACTACAACAATTCAAGAAGACAGTTTACCACCACCCTCTCAAGGGCAACAGGGATGGGCAATAAGTGCTGGCCATCCAGCGATGCCCGCATCTCACCTTAAACTTAGCCTCTGGTCTTAGACACAATAGCATTGAAGAGTAGGGTAGTTATCCTAGGCTTTTGTCAACCCACACTTAGAATCCCTACAGTATGGAAGCAGGCCATTCAACCCATCAAGTCACACCGACCCTCCAAAGAGTATCCCAAATAGACCCAACCCCTAACCTATCCCTGCATTTCCCACCCTAGGCACTATGGGCAATTTAGCATAGACAATCGACTGAAGCTACACATCTCTGGACTGTGGGAGAAAACTGGAGCACCTGGAGGAAACCCATGCAGGGAACATGCAAACTCCACACAGACAGTCACCCAAGGCTGGAATCAAACCTGGGTCCCTGGTGCTGAAAGACAGCAGTGCTAACCACTGAGTCACTGTGCCACACTTATAGCAACATGTGCAGTTTTGATAGTCATATGATAAATAGATGAAAAGGTACAGAACAGATTTGCTAGGATGGAAATTTTGGGTTATCATGACCCTGGTGGAAATAGTACACTATTTCACTGGTCATCACAAATGTGAAATATGACCAACTGGATCACTGGGATGGTTAATGTCTGACAGTGACCGGTCTAAAATAAATAAAACTTGTGCCAAATTTCATCAATGAACAAAAAAGAAGACATTTTTATTCTGACAAACTTATCCTCTCACACAAGGCAAGAACAACCAAACTCATGCACTTTACTTCACACATTGGATAAACAAATAGAAAAGACACTTTTTTCTTCAAGGATATTGTAGATGGAAAACGTACATCGGCAAAAAGACACAAAGACTTGAATCAGAGTCCAGTCCAAAATGAATGAAATGAGTTCTTTTTCTGGGTATTTGTGATGTTGTTGTCAACCACACATCCTCAAGTTGGTAGCTAGCAAGCTGCTTCCCACCTTGACTTGAATTCACAAGTCTTCTTTCTTTTTGTAAAAACTTTGAGTTATAGTTTGTTTGCAATTAAAAGGAAGTGATTTTATTTGCTGACAAGCTTAAGTCTAAAACCACCCCCAACTGTACTCTCTCCTGTCAGTTCTTTGTCAAATCATTCCCTTAAACCAATGCACAAGCTACTGTTGGACAGATGACGCCAGGTACCAGTATAACAGTATCGAATTCAGTTTCAGTAAAGTAATACCTCACTCTTCCACTTGTAAGTTGTAAGAAAAAGCAGCTAATAATCCAAAGTTGTATTAGTCAGTTAATATTTGTAAATATAAATATGTAGTCCTTAGAGGATATACATTTCATGAAATGATTGATGGTCTTTAATACATTTCTTTTGAAAAGAGAAATTAAGGGGTGATTTAAAAACTCAGCTTTCTCAATTATGAATGGATTTGATGGAGTGGATTGAAAAAAAAGTTCTCTTGTGGGGAACACAACTCAAAATTATCAATATAAAAGGTAGAGAATTCAGAAGTAATTTCTTTGCTGACAAAGTCATGAGAATGTGGAACTTGCTATTAAAGGGACTTGTGAAAATGAATAAATGTATTTATGGGGAAGACAAACAGGTACTTAAGATAGTTATGATGCCAGATTTAGATGATAAAGCTCTATATCTACACCATGTATCGATTGCTAATATATATTAATTGTATAAAACCTCATATAATCTTGTGTAATAAAGATCATTTTGTAAATTTAGCAAAGCATAAACTAGGAACAAATAATTAAGACCTGAGCATTGCTGAAACAGCAACAATCATCTTGACAAAGACAGAGATTAAATGTCTCTGAACCATCAATAGTGAGGCAAATAGTTCACAGACAATTTAGAGTCCAGTGTTATAAAGAGATTTTTATTCTTTCCAGAGATGGACACATTTTTTAAAGAATGCTGCCCACTCCAATTTATTGCATATCACAATTCCTATACAGTTTCCCATTGGTGTCAAATAACACATTAAACGTTCACAAATTGGTTAGATTAATGTAACGTCAGGCAACAATACTCCTATGATAAAAATACTTGAGCAGAGGATGTGAAACAAAATAGTTACCTGAATGTAGACGTTTCCCGCTCTCAGTTCAGAACCTCTATCTCCTGTAGTTTCAGGAGAAAACACAAGGAAACTGAAATCAGCAATATTTAAACTGCTCATTTTAATTCAACTGATGCATTTTCTGAAGAGGAAATTGATTTGAATATCTCTCTAGGACAGCTCCATTAAATAGCAATTGAGCTCTATCGGATATTTACTTGAATGACTGTGATGATAAAAAATAATCTTGTTTACTGAACCTGGCAAGTTTAACCACAGTAAGAGGAGAATGCAAATGTAGGAAATCTTGCAGTCCAATCATTCAGAGTGATTCACAGTTGACCCACCAGAGTTAAGGGTGTCTCTGACTGTTCATTACTTTTCTGATTCTTTCTCATGTGATTCCACTGCCCTCCATTCTGTGACCTTGTGAGAGAGCATTGCAGACCCTTTAATGTATAACTTCAGATAATTTTTGTTGTCATTTAAATTTTTTTTTTCTTGTCCATCTTATAATAAACATAAATTTTCATGTGATAGTAGGAACTGCAGATGCTGGAGAAACTAAGATGACAAGGTGTAGAGCTGGATGAACACAGCCATTTATGAAGGATCTAGACCCAAAACGTCAGCCTTCCTGCTCCTCTGATGCTGCTTGGCCTGCTGTGTTCATCCAGCTCTACACCTTATCATAAATTTTCATGTGTCGAGTTTGTATTAGCAATACTGGAACAACATAATTAGGAGCAGAAGTAGGCCATTTGGCCCCTCAAACAACTGGAGTTATGATTGAATTTCTGCCACAACTCTAAATTCTTACCATCCCCAAATTTCTTGATCTTGATCAGATGGGCTAACAGGCCAAGGAGTGGCAGATGGAGTTTAATTTAGATAAATGGGAGATGTTGCATTTTTGTGTGGTAAATCAGGGCAGTATGTATACAGTTAATGGTACAGCCATAGGGGATGTTGCTGAACAAAGACCTGGGGTGCAGGTGCATACTTCCTCGAAAATGATGTCGCAGGTAGACAGGGTGGCGAAGAAGGCTTGCCTTCAATGGTCAGAGCATTGAGTATCAGAACATTGGTCAGGCCACTTTTGGAATACTGCATTCAATTCTGGTCTCCCTTCTATGGGAAAGGTGTTGTGAAACTTAAAAGGGTTTAGAAAAGTTTTACAAGTATGTTACCAGGATTGGATGTTTTGAGCTATATGGAAAGCATTAATAGGCTGGGGTTATTTTCCCTGGAGCATCAGAAGCTGAGGGGTGACCCTACAGAGGTTTATAAAAGCATGAGGGGCATGGATAGGATGAATAGCCAAGATCTTTTTCCCAGGTTAGGGAAGTCCAAAGCTAGATGGCATAGGTTTAAGGTGAGAGGGGAAAGATTTAAAAGGGACCCAAGGGGCAACTTTTTGATGTAGAATGTGGTGCGTGTATGGAATGAGTTGCCAGAGGAAATGGTGGAGGTAGGTACAATTACATTTAAAAGCCATCTGTATGGGGACACGGATATGAAGGGTTCAGAGGAATATGAGCCAGATGATGTAAAATGGGACTAGATCAGTTTAGGATAACTGGTTGGCATGGATGAGTTGGACTGAAGGGTCTAATTCCTTGCTGTATGATTCTATGACTCTATGACACTGAAGAATCAAAATCTGTCTTATATATATTCAATGATTGTCCATTCAGAACCCTCTAAGATAGAGAATTCCAAAAGGTACATAACACTGAGTGAAGAAAGCTCTTTTTATCTCAGTTCTAAATCCTCAACCCTTCCAGACCATTCAGGAGAGATATTGGGAAGCACTTCTACTCACAAGAAGTGGTAGATGTTTGGAACCCTCAACCACAAATAGTGGATGCTGGATCAGTTGTTAGGTTCAAATCTGAGCTAGATGGTTTTTGTTGAGCAAAGGTATTTAGAATATGGGCCGAAAGCAGGTAAATGGAGTTAGGCCACAGATCCACCACAATCTCATTGAATGGCCTACTTCTGTTCCGATGTATTCGCCTGACAGTATTTTCACATGATCTGGATTCCTCAACCAGAAGAACAAACCTCTCAGTATCTGTTCTATCAAACAACTTCAAAATCTTGTATGTTTGTTTCACCTCTAATTCTTCTAAACTGTAGAATGTATTTGCCCAATTTACTTAGCTCCTCAAAGGAGCCAATCTAGTGAACTTTCACCATTCGATCTCCAAAACCAAGTATCACCTAGCTTAAAGAAGAAAATTCCACATGGTGAACTGGACTTTACGTGCCCACACAGGGCATGTTTTAGGCAGAGAAACAGTTATAATATAGCAGCTATCCCACCTCTTTCCCACCCATCCCCAAGCTGTCTCCCATTACACAGAGTGGGTGTGGTGTTCTGAAACCAGAAGTCCACCCTTTGTCAGACTTTCAGATGATTGCAATATTACCTGGATCTTGCAGGCAAGAGATGGCAGCCTATTTCTTAAAATAATTCTAAAAGGGGGGGCCAGGAAAAGGGGAACATTTCCCTGCACCCCACCTTCTAAGAGGCTGAAATCCTCTCTGCTCAATGCCCTGAGTAATTAGGTCCATTGTTGATTGAGGCCTTTGTTCTTAGGCTGGTTGCAGTATCAGCAGGACTCATTGCTGGGACAGTAAGAATTGCCAGTCAGCCAGATTAACCAACAGTTTAGGAGCTCAGAACGTTATTCCACAGATAGATGCAAGTTCCACTCTATCTTTGTTAACATCACCCCTGCAAAATAAGAATTATACAGCATAGAAAAAGGCCCTTCTTCCCATGCAAAATTGCCCAGAGTCCAGGGGTGCTGGTTTGACATGGGAAATGCAGGATTACAGGGATGGGATGGGTCTAGGTAGGATGTTCTTTGGAAGGTCAGTGTGGACCCATTGGGCTGAATGGCCTGTTTCCACATGGTAGGGATTCTATGGAAAACTCCTAACTATTCTAATCCCATTTTCCAAAACTGGTCCATAGCCTTGTCATCATAAGTGCGCATATAAATACTTCTTAAATGTTAGAACGGTTTCTGCCTCTACCACCCTTACAGGCAGTTAGTTCCAGACTCCCAACATCCTCTTGGTGAAAGAGGTTTTCCTCACATCCCCCTCTAAATCTTCAGTAATTTACCTTAACTCCCTGGTCATTGATCCCTCCAACAAGGGGCAAAGATTTTTCCCACTTATCTTATATTTGCCCTCTTAAAGAACAAAGAACAAAGAAAATTTCAGCACAGGAACAGGCCCTTTCAGCCCTCCAAGCCTGCGCCGATCCAGATCGTCTATTCAAACCTGTCACCTATTTTCCAAGGATCTGTATCCCTCTGCTCCCTGCCCATTCATGTATCTGTCTAGATACATCTTAAATGAAACTATCGTGCCCGCCTCTGCCACCTCCACTGGCAACGTGTTCCAGGTACCCACCACCCTCTGCGTAAAGAACTTTTCCCCTCTCACCTTGAAATTGTAACCCCTAGTAATTGAGTCTGTCATGTCCCCTCTCAATCTTCTCTACACTAAGCAAAACAACTCCAGTTTGTCCAATCTCTCCTCATGGCTGAAACTTTCCAGCCCTGACAACACCCTGATAAATCTTCTCTGCATTCTTTCCAGTGCTATCACATCTCTGCTATAATGTGGATTTTAGAACTGCACACAATACTCTCGCTGTGGCCTAATCAACATTTTACACAGTTCCAGCACAATCTCCATGCTCTTACATTCTATGCCTCGACTAATAAAGACAATTATACCATATGCCAATTTGACCACTTTATCCATTTGTCCTGAGATCCCAAGGGACTAGTGTACATGCACACCAAGGTCCCTCTGATCCTCAGTGCTTCCAAGAGTCCTACCATTCATCACGTATTCCCTTATCTTGTTTGTCCTACCCATATGCATTACCTCACACTCATCCAAATTGAATTCCATTTACAATGGATCAACCCATCTAACCAGCCCATCTAAATCCTCCTGTAACCTAAAGTTATCCTCCTCACTATTTACCACCCCACCAGTTATTGTGTCATCTGTGATCTTATTGATCAATTTTCTTACATTCAAGTCTAAATCATTTATATAAAACACAAACAGTAAGGTCCCCAACACTTACCGCTGTGGAACTCCACTGAATGCAGACTTCCAGTCAGTAAAACACCCCTCAACTATCACCCTCTGCTTCCTGCATCTCAGCCAATTCTAGATCCAATTTTCCAAATTTCCTTAGATCCCATGGATTCTGACATTTGTTATCAGTCTTCATTAAGCCTTGCTGAAGTTCAAGTAGACTACATCAAAAGGATTGCTCTCATCTACACACCTGGTCACCTCTTCAAAACATTCAATCAAGTTGTTCAGACATGATCTCTCCTTTATAAAACCATGCTGACCATTCTTGATTAATCCCTGCCTCTCCATGTGTGCAGATTAATTCTGTCCCTCAGAATTGTTTCCAATAGTTTCCCCACCACCAAGGTTAGGCTGACCTGCCTGTAATTTCTTTATTTTTCCGGTATTCTAGATATAATCTCACCAAAGTCCTTGTTCCTTGTTCTTGTATCCATCTCTCCTACAATATGCCATTTGCCTTCCAGAAACTTGATTGGCCAGCCAAATACTTCAGTGAAGAGGATACACTGAAGGAGTTGGAGCTGTTCTTTGAGACAAAAAAAACCGCAGATGCTGGAATCTAAGGTAGGCAAACAGGAAGCTGGAAGAACTCAGCATCTGGAGGAAAGGAGAAGAAACAACATTTCAGGACTGGATTGGGTGGGTTGGGCGAGCTGCAGATAAAGAAGGGGGGTATCAGAATGATGTTGATAGATGGACGGTACGACCTGATTGGTCAATGGGAGTGATGAATCTGGTTGGTGGCTGGAAGGGAGGGTCAGTAGGTGGAATGGAAGGGAGGAGGTGGGGCTGGAAGGGGACCAGGAGGATGGGTGGAAAGGTTATTTGCAATTAGAGAACTTAATGTTGAGTCCTCCGGGCTATAGCGTGCCCAGGCAGAAGATAGTGTTGTTCCTCAAATTTGCATTGCAAGTCACTGCGACACTGTAGGAGTCCAAGGATGGACATGTTGGAGGGGCACTGGGGGCAAGTTGAAATGGGTGGTGATTGGGGACGTTGGGCTGGCTGTTTTGGGCCAGGCAAAAACGCTCGATGAAATGGTCACCGAGTCTATGTTTGGTCTCACCGATATGGGGAAGACCACATCGGGAGCACTGGATGCAGTAGCCTAATTTGGAGGACATGCAGGTGAAGCTCTGTCTCACTTTGAAGGACTGATTAGGGCCTGGATGGAGGTGAGGGAGATGGTGTGTGGGCAAGTGTTGCATCTTTTACAGTTACTGGAAAAGGTACCGGGGGAAGGGGATGGTGTTGGAGTGGTTGGAGGAGAGTATGGCGTGAACTAAGGAATGTCGAAGGGAATGGACATTGTGGAAGGCAGAGAGGGGTGGGGAGTAGAAGCTGTTCCAGGTGGAGTCCAACTGGAGTTGGCAGAAATGTTTGGGGATGATACGTTGGGTGCAGAGATTGTTGGGGTGTAAAGTGAAGACAAGGGGGACCTTATCTTTATTATGTTTGGGGTGAGGTGGTTTAGAGCTGTGGAGCAGGGAATAAAGGAGGCACAGTGGAGGGCTGTCTGGATGACACTGGCAGAAAAGAGCGTTGTTTGAAAAAGGCGGACATCCAGGATGCTTGGGAGTGGAAGGTCTCCTTGTCAGAGCAGATGCGGCGGAGATACAGGAATTGGGAAAATGGGATGGAGTTTTTGCAGGATACAGGGTGGGAGGAGGTGTTGTCTAGGTAACTATGGAAGTCTGTGGGTTTATTATAAATGTTGGTCTGTAAACTGTTGCCAGAAATGAAAACAGAGGTAAAGAAAGGGGAGGGAGGTGTCTGAGATGGCCCAAGTGAATTTGAGGGCAGGGTGAAAGTTGTTAGTGAAGTCGATGAACTGCTCCAGCTCAGCCTGGATGTGGGATGCAGCACTGACGCAGTCATTGATATAACAGCGGAAGAGTTGGGGAACCATAGTGGTATGTGTACTGAAGAGGGACTGTTCAACATAACCGACAAAGAGGCAGGGGGCTGTTCTTGTTGAGGACACAAAGGCAGAAAGGAGATTTGGTAGAGGTTTTCAAAGCCATGAGCCAGCTGAATAAAGTAGATGAGGAGAATTTTTTCCCCCACTTGTAAAAGAAAAACTATGTGACTGAATAGATGTGCAAAAGAAGCAAGAGGAAAACATTTTCACCCACAAGTTGTTAGGGTATAGAGTGCACTGCCTGGAAATATGATGGAGGCAGGTTCAAATGAGCCTTTCAAAAGGGGGTTGGATGAAAATGGTGTACAAGGATATGGAGAAAAGGTAGGATATTGGCACTGGTGCAGGCACGATGGGCTGAATAGCCTTCTTCTGCACTGTAACAATTCTGAGTGATTCACACTGTGTCTACAATACTTAGTAAGAGGCCAGGAATTCTATGATAAGTATCTCACCTCTAAACTCTTCAAAAGCTGTCACCATGCTCAGTCAAATGCTGCCTTGATGTCACTACCACTTCCTTCTTGAGTTCAGGTCTTTTGGACCAAGGCTATAGTGAAATCAAGAGCTGATTGCTGAATCAAGATATTTTTTAATTGACCTACTCAGAGATGTCATGACACAGCTCTGGAACAGGTAGAACTTGAAGCCAGGACATCTACCTCAGAGGCAGGAGACTAACACTGCATCTATTAAATTCCCCATCCTGACTGAAACCAAACAGAATGTAATGGAGCATGTTATTACTAATCAGGTACCACTTGTTCACACCGTCAATGACACAATCCATCACTTTGCAGACAATTGACAGTGGACTGATGGGGAGGAAATTGGCTGGATTGGACATCAGAGGATTAACAGTTAGATAGACAGACATCAGGCATATACCTGACCAGTCAGTTTCTTTTTATTCCAATTCACACATTATAAATTTTTTTTAAATTTAACCCATTTTTCCAATCAGTCTGCTCGGATTATTACATACCTCTGGAGAAAGTGAGACTTGAACATCAGCCTCCTGGTCTGAGGATAGGGACATTGCCACTGCATCACAAGAGGGCCCCCTAATTTGCACATTATAAAGCTTCACACACTGATTACTTTTGCACAATCAAGTCCTCACCCAATTATCCCTTAATGAACATATAACCATCACCTGTCCCCTAGTTCCATAAGGTCTCAGGTATTTCTGCCAGCCCCTATTAGATGATGTACTTCATATAAATGTAATAATAATCAAAAACAAACTGAACAGACAATACCAAATGACAAATTATTGTGTAGAGTACATACTATATTCAACCTTAATTGTGTTCATTGAAGTTCCAAATGCCCCTTTTATTCAGCTTTCCTAATAGTTTCTCAAGGCTTGCTCCTCTCTTCATAAATCTGACTGCTGCTATCTGTCCTTTTCAATTCTGAGATTTCTCCAATCTACAGTATCTGTCTTAAAACTACAATGTCAATCCTCATTTTTTTTCATTAAAGGTATTTTTTTGGAATGTGCATTGGTATTGATGCTGAATCCATTTTTTTAGATAATTTTCCAATATTTTCATATATAGCACCTCAATAAGAGCAAGTGTTTCTGTTACTTTCTTTTAGCTCTCAAAGCTACATTTATCTATGTCTCCTGAAAGAAAATTATAAACCCATATACACGAAAGAATCCATCACAGAGATTTGCATCATTATCTCTACTAAAAACAACAAGTTTCATATTCCTGGCTTCTCCTGTTGATGGAAAATTTAAAACAAGTTGCTCCATGTTTACTTTATTCAATGTTTGTTCGTTCAAATTATATCTTCAGCTTTAGAGTTTTTCATAGTTCTATTCAATACGAAGACCTGAAAATTGGCATCTAGACTCATTTGAATGCCCAGAAAATTCAACAGTAAAATTAGACTTTTCAATTCCTTAATTTGGTTTTAGAAGCCTCTGCATCTTTTTATGAGACCCTATTTTGACAAACTGTAATGGCGCTAACATCTTCTAAATTAATTTGGGCCTCTACTCACTGGAATTTAGAAGATTGAGAGGCGATCTTATTGAAACAAACATGATTCTTACAGGACTTGAGGTTGTTGACTTGCTCGCCGAGCTGGCTTGTTCTCATTCAGATGTTTCGTCACCATGCTAGGTGATATCGTCAGTGAGACCTCCAATGAAGCGATGTTGTTCTGCTCCACTTGGAATTTATACTGTCTGGTCTGTAACGGTGAGTAATGTCATTTCTGGGTTTGATCTATATGGGTTTGTATAAGGGGTCCAATTCTACGTGTTTGATGATTGTATTATGGATGGAGAACCACGCCTCTAGGAATTCCCGTGCATGTCTATGTTTGGCTTGGGCTACTATGGTTTGCCAAAATTATGCCAAAATCTTACAGGACTTGTCAGGGTAGATGTGGAAAGTTTGCTTGTCCTCACAGGAGGGTCTAGAACGAAAGGGCATAATCTCAGAATAAAAGTGGCCTTACGTTAGGAATTTCTCTCTGAGAGTAGTGAATCTGGAGAATTCTTTACCAGAGAGGGCTGTTGAGACTGGATCATTATCAGTATATTCAAGGCTGAGATAGACAGATTTTTAATGAGATAAGGAATCAAGAATAAAGAGCGATACAGCTCAGGAACAGGCCTCTCAGCCCTCCACGCTTGCGCTAACACATTTTGCCCTTCCATACTAAAACTGTCTTCACTTACAGAATCCATATCCCTTTATTCCCTTCCTATTCATGTATTCTTTTTTCCAGGTATTTCTGGAATGCTGCTATTGTGAATTATTGACAAAAGGCAGGAAAGTGGTGTTGAGGACTTTCAGATCAGCTATGATTCCATCGAATGGCAGAGCAGACTTGATGAGCTGAATGGCCTAATTTTGCTCCTATGTCTCATGGTCTTATGTGCTTGAAAAGATTTTGTGACATTTTAAGAAAATATGGTTATATTGGTCTTAAAAGGCCTTCAACTCTTATAGTGACCCTGTGTGCTCTGCAAGTCAAAATGGTTGATGTGAATTTGTAATGTGTTACTTTAATGGTTTAATAATGAAGAGAACACTTCAAGCACTCAAGTTACATTTCCATTACTTGGTCAGGTCAGGCAGCACATTGTAGTACTCATATGTGACATTACCCAAGATTGTGGTTGCATGCTGACTGACAAGGACTCACACTTGACCCTGGTGAGGAACTGTTAAGAGTAAATGGACGAGATACATGAATGTTACATGGAGCTCAATGTGGCTATGCCTCTTTAATTCAGTCAGTATGTTATATCTCCCTGTTGGTCTCTGTCTCTCTCTCTCCCTCCTTCCCTATGTGTCTCCTGCCTTCTTTCCTTCTATATCTCCCTCCCTGTGAATCTTCTTCCCTCCCTCCCAGAATGATAACAAGACTGCCAATAAACAAATGGACTTTATTTAGAAATAGTAACATTTTCATAGGTTGTCATGTTGTATATCATGTATCATCCATATGATTTATTTGTAACTCTTTGATAGTATTGGTATGAAATAAAAATAATGATTAGACTATGCCAAAAGTCTGTCTTTAAAGTCGTGACTTTTTTTTTGATTCATTCACCTATGGGACTTGGGCGTCACTGGTAAGCAATCATTTATTGCCCATCCCTAGTTGCCCTTGAGAAGGTGGGTGTGAGCTGCCTTCTTGAGCTGCTACAGTCCACGTGCTGTAGGTAGACCTACAAAGTCCTTAAGGAGGAAATTCCAAGATGTTAGCCGAGCAACAGTGAAGGAATGGTGATATATTTCCAAGTTAGGATATGAGTGCCTTGGAGGAGAACTTGCAGGTGGTAGTGTTTCCATGTACCTACTGCCCTTATCCTTCTAGATGGAAGCAGTCATGGGTTTAGAAGGTGCTGTCTAAAGATCTTGGGTGAATTTCTACAGTGCATTTTGAGGATAGTACATTTTGCTGCTACTGACCATTGGTTCTGGAGGGAGTAGATGCGTGTGGATGTGGTGCCAATCAAGCAGGCTGCTTTGTCCTGGATGGTATCAAGCTTCTTGAGTGTTGTTGATACCAGAAGGCAAATGCTAGTAAAACATTGTAGGGTCTGCTTTCAATTAGAAACAGCTTAATTCTAATAAGAAGGACCTTACTGAGAATTCATAAGGCATCATATATATGCATATATTCAACTTCCAGAAAGTGCCCATTGCATTTGATGCCTCTTTTGGAGGGTGAAGATACATTTCCTTTTTGAATTGAAGAAAAACAGCTTTAGTATCAACTAATTTACACTCCCAAGCAGTTCTTCCTAAGAAAGCCAAGAAAATCTATAAAATTGCTGTGGCTAAATCTAGTCTTATATCTTGGTCTCCAGTTTTTCTTCAAAACTTGATGACATTAGCCTGTCTTTATCCTTTTAAGATCCATCAGAAGACACTTATTTCTTGTATATCCATACAGGTGATAGAGCTGGCTGTCCCCTAACTTGCACCTCAGTGCACATCTCAAATTCTCTTCAGCTTTGTCATTCCTGTTATTTTTCAACTTCTGCTTTGTTAATCAAGCTAAAACATCCCCATTACATGGGGATGGTTTAAACTAATTCAGCAGGGGCATGGGAACCTGAATTGTAGCTCCAGTGTACAGGAGGTTGAGAGTAATGAGGTCATGAATAAGGTTTCAAGGTCGCAGGGGCGTACCGGCAGGCAGGAAGGTGGTTTGAAGTGTGTCTACTTCAATCTCAGGAGCATCTGGAATAGGGTGGGTGAACTTGCAGCATGGGTTGGTACCTGGGACTTCGATGTTGTGGCCATTTCGGAGATATGGATAGAGCAGGGACAGGAATGGTTGTTGCAGGTTCCGGGGTTTAGATGTTTCAGTAAGATCAGGGAAGGTGGTAAAAGAGGGGGAGGTGTGGCATTGTTAGTCAAGGACAGTATAACGGTGGCAGAAAGGACGTTTGATGAGGACTTGTCTACTGAGGTAGTATGGGCTGAGGTTAGAAACAGGAAAGGAGAGGTCACCCTGTTGGGAGTTTTCTATAGGCCTCCGAAAAGTTCCAGAGATGTAGAGGAAAAGATTGCAAAGATGATTCTGGATAGGAGCGAAAGTAACAGGGTAGTTGTTATGGGGGACTTGAACTTTCCAAATATTGACTGGAAACGCTATAGTTTGAGTACTTTAGATGGGTCAGTTTTTGTCCAATGTGTGCAGGAGGGTTTCCTGACACAGTATATAGATAGGCCAACAAGAGGCGAGGCCACATTGGATTTGGTACTGGGTAATGAACCAGGTCAGGTGTTAGATTTGGAGGTAGGTGAGCGCTTTGGTGATAGTGACCACAATTCGGTTACATTTACTTTAGTGATGGCAAGGGATAGGTATATACCGCAAGGCAAGAGTTATAGCTGGGGGAAAGGCAATTATGAGGCGATTAGGCAAGATCTAGGATGCATAGAATGGAAAAGGAAACTGCAGGGACTGGGCACAATTGAAATGTGGAGCTTGTTCAAGGAACAGCTACTGCGTGTCCTTGAGAAGTATGTACCTGTCAGGCAGGGAGGGAGTGGTCGAGCGAGGGAACCGTGGTTTACTAAAGAAGTTGAATCTCTTGTCAAGAGGAAGAAGGAGGCTTATGTAGAGATGAGGCGTGAAGGCTCAGTTAGGGCGCGTGAGAGTTACAAGTTAGCCAGGAAGGACCTAAAGAGAGAGCTAAGAAGAGCCAGGAGGGGACATGAGAAGTCTTTAGCAGGTAGGATCAAGGAAAACCCTAAAGCTTTCTATAGGTATGTCCGGAATAAAAGAATGATGAGAGTAAGATTAGGGCCAGTCAAGGACAGTAGTGGGAAGTTGTGCGTGGAGTCCGAAGAGATAGGAGAGGCGCTAAATGAATATTTTTCATCAGTATTCACACAGGAAAAAGACAAAGTTGTCGAGGAGAATACTGAGATACAGGCTATTAGACTAGACGGGATTGAGGTTCATAAGGAGGAGGTGTTAGCAATTCTGGAAGGTGTGAAAATGGATAAGTCCCCTGGGCCGGATGGGATTTATCCTAGGATTCTCTGGGAA